TGCAGCATGGAAATAGACCCTTCGGTCCAACCAGTCCATGCCGACCGTAATCCCAAACTAAACTAGTCCCACCTGCCTGTGCTTGGCCTCTATCCCTCCAAACATTTCTTATTCATGTGCATATTCAAATGTCTTTTATACATTGGAACTGAACCGCATCAGTTCTTTGGAAGTTCATTCCACACACAAAGCACTTTCTGTGTAAAAAAAAAAAATGCCCCTTGTGAATTTTTAAAAAATCTTTCTCCTCTCACCTTAAAAATATGCCTCCTAGTCTTGAAATCCCCATCCTAGGGAAAAGACACTTGCTATTCACCTTATCTATACCCCTCATGATTTTATAAACCTCTATAAATTCACCCCTCAACCTCCAGGGAAAAAGAGTCCTAGCCTATCCAGCCTTTCCTTTTAATTCAAACTCTCCATTCCCAACAACATCCTGGTAAATCTTTTCTGAACCCTCTCCAGCTTAATAAATCTTTCCTATAACTGGGCAACCAAAACTGTACATAGTACTCCAGAAGAGGCCTCAACAATGTTCTGTACAATCTCAATATGACATCTCAACTTCTATACTCAAAGGTCTGAGCAACAAAGGCAAATGTGCTCAATGTCTTCTTAACCACCTTGAAGTTTTCTGAATAAATTCTAGTTTGTGGATGATGAATGTAGAAAGGTCACCTAGAATCATGGAATAGGACAACACAGAAGGTCGCTGAGCCCACTGAGTCTGCACCGGACCTTCAATAAGAAATCTAGTAAGTCCCCCGCCTCTTTATTTCCAAATACCCCTGCATTTTCTTCTTCAAAAGTTTAGCCAGTTCCTTCAAACACTATATTTGAATTGTATCTACCATCCATCAGGCTGTCAATTCCAAATTCTAGCCACTTGTAAGTAAAAAGTTATCTCTTATGTTATCTCTGGTTCTTTGCCAATCACCTTCAATCTGTGCATTCTGGTCATCAACTGTTCAGCCATTGGAAAAGTTCTTCTTTATTTATTTTTTCTAAACCTTTCACAATTTGAAGCACTTCCATTAACTCTCAGCTCAGCCCTCTCTGCTCTGAGGACACCAAGCTCAATTTCCCCAAAATATCCATGAAACTGTAATTGGAACCATTGAAGAAGTGAATGGAAGAAGACTAGCCTCAAAATATCAATAGCATGGGCTTAGTTGAAAGCAAGAAAGTGAAAGGTGCAGAGGTGGAAGGAAGCAATTTTGATAACAAAAGATGTGGGAACAGAACCCTTTTGGGGTCAAGTGTCCCAGAAATCATGACTAAGTTGTAATCAGAATATTGATGGAAGCATAATATATAGGAGTGAGGTTGGAAGAGCACAGCAGGTCAGACAGCATCCGAGCAGCAGGTAAGTCAACATTTTGGGCTGAAACCCTTTATCAGGACTGGGGGTTTTGGCCCAAAATATTGACATACCTGCTCCTCGGATGCTGTCTGACCTGCTGTGCTTTTCCAGCCTCACACCTGTGGACTCTGGCTTCCAGCATCTGCAGTGCTCATTGTCTCCAAGTGTTGATGGAAGCATTGCTGGCAACATATACTGATAACAAGAGCTAGGAAACAGTTTTGTTTTTATCAACAATAAAGTAAAGGGATGTTTCTAATCCAAACTTTGTTTCAATCAATTAGATACTGACTACTGTTTATATAAATTGGGAAGGACAGTTAAAAATTGTCATAATATAAAATCATAAAATAGATAGGAAAAAAGTATTAGTCCTTACAAAAAAGTAGATTTATACTGGAACAAATTACAATGTCTATGAAAATGTTTGAATACATTTATGTCTGGAAGATGATTACAGAACAGTTGAGACCCTTAAAGTTGCAAAGGAAAAGTGTAGTTGGCATGGTTGACTATATTGTTTCAGAGATGGTAGGAACTGCAGATGCTGGAGAATCCGAGATAACAAGGTGTAGAGCTGGATGAATACAGCAGGATGATGCTGCTTGGCCTGCTGTGTTCATCCAGCTCTACACCTTGTTATCATGATTGACTATATGTCCAGATTTCAACAATTTCTCATTTTTCTTTATTCATTCACAGGATGAGGGTGTCGCTGGCTAGGCAGTTTTTATTGCCCATCCCTAATCACACAAAGGGCAGTTAAGAGTCAGCCATATTTTTGTGGGTCAAGAGTCACATGTAGGCCAGACCAAGTAAGGATGGCAGTTTCCTTCCCTGAAGGATGTTAGCGAATCTAGTAGGTTTTTCCGACAAGCGGCAATGGATTCATGGTCATCAGTAGACTCTTAATTCCAGATTTTTTTAAATTATTGAGTTCAAATTCTACCATCTGCCTTGACAGCATGCTAACTCAGGTCCACAGAACTTTATTTGTGTGTCTGGATTAACAGTCCTGGTATAATACCACTAGGCCTTCGCCTTCCCTTACAGACTTTTGAGGAGATACAATTCTGAATCATGTCCAGAATTACCTATGGAACAAGCTCTATATTTTAATAAAGTAGTCTAAAGGCTGCTGTGTGAGACGCACTTCCTACCGAGATGGAGTGGAAGTCATAAGATGTAGCAACAGAAGTAGGCCATCCGGTCCATTGAGTTTGCTCCGCCATTCAATGAGATCATGGCTAATCTGAAAAAACCTCAATTTCACTTTCCTGTCTTTTCTCCATAACCCTTGAATCCCTTACTGATTACAAAGTGAAATAGAAGATTTTTATATACTTAATGACCTTGCCCCTACAGCATTCTACAGTAAAGGATTCCATAGATTCACGATCCTCTGAGAAAATAAATCCCTTCTCAGATCTGACTTAAATGTGTGACCTCCTTATTCTGAGATTATTCCCTCTCGTCCTAGAATTGCCCATAATTTAGAATAATCTTTTCTCATCTACCCTGTCAATTACTCCAGAACCTTGTATGTTTCAATAAGGTCACCTCTCCTTCTAACCCCAATGAGCGCAGGTCAACCTACTGAATCTCTCCTCATAAAAGAGTCCTTCCATCCTGGCATCAGCCTAGTGCACCTTCTCTGGACTGCCTCCAATGCCTATATATCTTTCATTAGATAAAGAGCCCAAAACCTTCCACAGTACTCCAGCTGTGATCTGACTAGTGACTTACATAGTTTCGGCAAGACCTCACTATTTCTGAACTTTGGAATAAAGGCCAACATTTAATTTGCCTTCTGTATTTCCCACGGAACTTGTATGATGGCTTTTTGTGAATTTGCCATGAAGACTTCCAATCCCTCTGTGTTGTAGCTATCTGCCTACTTTTTCTATTTAAATAATATTCAGCTTCTCTATTCTTCCTGCCAAAGTACATAATCTCACATTTTCCCACATAATATTCCATCTGCTGAGCTTTTTGCTGACTCACTTAACCTGTCTATATCTCTCTGAAGACTCAAACTTGGCTGTAGTACATTGACTTAACTCACCTAAGTTATTAACATATATTGTAAATAATTATGGCCGTATCACTGATCCCTGTGGTACTGCACTAGTTACAGGTAGCCATTCTAAAAATTCCCCTCTTATATCAACACTGTGTCTCCTGTTAGTTAAGCAATCCTTTGTCCGTGTTAAAATACTACCTCCACACCAAGGGCCCTTAACTTATTAAGTAACCTAACATGTATTACATCATCAAACACCTTCTGAAAATCCAAATATATTATCTCCATTACTTCCCCTTTATCTATCGTGCTTGTTACCAACTCAGGCGATCCTGATAATAAATTTGTCAGGCATGATTTCCCTATCCTGAAGCCATGCTAACTCTGCTTGATCATTATTATGTATTTTTAAATGCTTTGCAATTACACCCTTTATATTAGACTCTTAACATTTTCCCAATAATAGATGTGAAGCTAATTGACCTATAGTTACCTGATTTTTGTCTCCTTCATTGTTACATTGTGTTACATCTGGCAGTTTTCCAATCCTCTGAGACTTCATCAGAATCTAAGGATTCTTGGAAGATTGGTGACTCAGTCTGTGCTACACTTTCATACCTCTGAAAAATATCAATATCAAAGCAGAATTGAGAAAGGATTGAATGTCCTACAGTAGAAGGACATGGAAACAGGAAAGTAAATTGATATAAAGTGCTGCATTTTTTTTTCAACATGCCACAGTGAGGTGAGATGCAGTTTTAAAATCACAATTTCCCACACCTCAAGATAAATTCTTGAATGCAGCCAAAATGTCAAGAAGAGAAGGCATGTTGAGACAGGAAGTTTCTCAACACATTTTGAGGGGTGAGGAGAAGATGTATGGGCTCAATATATAAATCAAAACAATTGATTTTGATGCATTGATGAAGCAATATCAAAAATTCCTGCATTCAGTGTAAAGGATTTTGATAATCTGGATGTTCAGTAGCTACTCATGCAAAAGCAGAAAGATCTCAGCATGTGATTACAGTAAGAAAGGAGATTTTTGAAGAATGTATTTTTCTGATAACCAAAAAGAGAGGCGAATATTAATTTTCTTTTTGTAGGTTAATTTAGTTGTGCTTCACAGAGTTTATACTAAGAGATTCCATTTTAATTTTTCTGATACTAGCTGTTTTTATGAGAGCTTACCTAAAAGAATCAGTCAACCAATAGTTGTTTTTGATGTCTGATCAGCAGCTACTGTTGACAAGCTGTGAAACATTGGTATGTCAGTCATTGCTTGAACCTAAAGAGGCAAGTTTATCAGTGGAGAATTCACAGTGAGAAAATGTAAATTTAAACTCACCACAAGTATGCTTCAGAATATAAATGAATGCATTTAATGTTTGATTGATATGAACTGTTTTTAAATATTTGGGAAAATGTATCAGAAAAATTTTTCATCATATGAGATGCATAGCGCCACTTACTAGAGATGTGCCAAGAATGTTCTTCAATGAAGGATGAATGTATTCACAGGCCTATGACTGCTACATTCTTTTGGTGATAAGTTATGGTAAAGAAAAGCAATGTTGCAGCCATATGGTCATTACTATTTTTTCTCATTAGGAATATAACTGGTTGAACTATCAGCCAAAGGATATGAGTGAATCTGATGAAGCAAGAATGCTGGCTAGTTTACGACGGCAGCAACTTGAAGAAATGGAGGATGAAGGGAAGACAAACCATTTGAATGCCGTCCAGCTTGGTTACTGTGTCTATGGTGATGATAGCTTGAGTACGAGCAGTGATGATACAAGCATCTGGAGTACCCAGCATACAGGACCAGTAAGTCTGGCCAAATGGCTTCATAAATTGTTCAAACATGCATTTATAGTCAGTTTTGCAGTTGTCCGTTGTCTGTGCGAACAAGTGCTATGCAAAATCAAAATAGCATTCTTATGCACCTGAAGTTACTATTTATGAGCAAGTAATACAAATCTGCTAATGACCCTCCCTTCCATAAAATATGACTTGTCTGTCCTTGAAAACTATCACCAACTTTCATTTATTCGTCAAAGTCATTGAATGAGCTGTCACCTCACAAATCCATGCCCATGTTTTCCTCTACTAAGACTATTGCCCCTGAAACACTTGTGGGTGGAACTCAGAAATAGGAAGTGGATGATCACCTTGATGGGATTGTGCTATAGGCTCCCAACAGTCAGCAGGAAACTGAGGAGCAAATATGTAGAGAGATCTCAGATACATGTAAGAATGATAGGGTTGTAATTTTAGAGGCTTTTAACTTTCCAAACGTAGTCTGGGACTGCCATAGTGTTAAGGGCTTGGATGGTGAGGAATTTATTAAGTATTCCAAGAAGTTTTGTTTATCTAAAGGTAGACGTACCTATTGGAGAAGGAGCAAAACTTGACCTTCTCTTGGGAAATAAGGCAGGGCAAGTGACTGAACTGTTAGTGGGGGAGCACTCTGGGACCAGTGATCATGATTCTATTAGTTTTAGAAAAGGATAGGCCATATATAAATGTTAAACTTCTTAATTGGAGTAAGGCAAATTTTGATGCTACGAGACAAGAACTTTCAAAAGTTGATTGGAGTAGACTGTTCACAGGTAAAGGAAGTGGGAGACTTTCAAAAACGAGATAACGAGAGACCAGAGGCAATTTGTCCCTCTTAGAGTGAAAGGTAAGGTTGGTAAGAGTAGGGAACAATGGATGAATAAAGTTATTGAGGCTCTGGTCAATAATAAGAAGGAGGCATATGTTAAGGAAAGGCAAATTGGATCAAGTGAATCTCTTAAAATATATAAAGGTTGTAGGGGCATCTTAACAGTGAAATCAGGAGGGCAAAAGGAAGCTATGAGATAGGCTTGGCAGATAAGGTTAAGGATAATCCAAAGAAATTCTACAGGTACATTAAGAGCAAAAGAGCAACTAGGGAGAGAATAGGCCCTCTTAGATATCAATGAGGTTGTCTATGTGTGGAACCACAGGAGATGGAAAGATACTAAACAAATATTAACATCGGTTTTTACTATGGAGAAAGACATGGAGGCTAGGGAGCTCAGGAAACAATTATTGATGTTTTGGAAACAGTCCATATTACAGAAGAGGAGGTGCTGGAGGTCTTAAAAAATATAAAGGTGGATAAATCTCTGGGTCCTGATCAAGTGTATCCCAGGACATTGTGGGAAGCTAGACAAGAAACTGCGAAGCCCCTAGCAGAGATATTTGTTTCACCTACACCCAGGGTTGGCTGATGTTGTGACTTATTTAAGAAAGGCTGTAGGGAGAAGTCTGGGAACTATAACCCCATGAATCTGACATCAGTGGTAGGTAAGTTGTTGGAGGGGATTCTGAGACATAGGATTTACATGCATTTGGAAGGCAAGGACTGATTAGGGATAGTCAGCATGGCTTTGTGTGTGGGAAATTGTGTCTCACAAATTTGACTGAGTTTTTTGAGGATGTTACCGAAAAGATACAAGAGAGCAGACTGGTAGACGTCATCTACATGGACTTTAGTAAAGCCTTTGACAAGGTTGCACATGGTAGATTGATTAGTAAAGTTAGATCAGATGGGATTCAGGGAGAGCTTACCAATTTGATACAAAATTGGCTTGACGGTAGGAGACAGAGGGTGGTTGTGGAGGATTTTATAGACTGGAGACCTGTGACCAGCGGTGTTCTGCAGAGATCTGTGCTGAGTCAACTGTTATTTGTCATTTGTATAGACAATTTAGATGAGAATGTAGGAGGCATCGTTAGTAAGTTTGCAGATGACACTAGAAGGTTATCGAAAGTTACGAAGGGATCTTGATCAATTGAGCCAATGGGCTGAGGAGTAGCAGATGGAGTTTAATTTGGATAAATGCGAGGTATTGCATTTAGCTAACACAAACAAGGGGAGGACTTATACAGTTAGTGGTAGGCCCCTGGGTAGTATTGTCAAACAGAGACCTAGGGGTTCAGGTATATCATTCTTTGAAAGTTGCGTCACAGGTAGACAGGATGGTTAAGAGGGTGTTTAATATACTGGAATTTATTGTTCAGACCATAGAGTATAGGAGTTGGGACGTCATGTTGAGGTTGTACAGGATATTGGTGAGGCAACTTTTGGAGTACTATGTACAGTTCTCATCCCCCTGCTATAGGAAGGATATTATTAAATTAGAGAAAGTACAGAAAAGATTTACATGGATGTTGCCAGGAGTACAGGGTCTGAGTTATAGGCAGAGGCTGGATAGTCTGGAACTTCTTTCACTGGAGTGTAACAGGTTAAAGGGTGACCTTATAGAGGTTCATAAAATCATGAGGGGCATACTTAAGGTGAGTAGCATAGGTTTTTTCTCTCAGGTGGGGGAGTTCAAAACTAGAGGGCACCTTACCTAGGTGAGAGGAGAAAATTTAAAAGGGACCGGAGGGTCAATTTTTTCAAACAGAGGGTGGTTCGTAAGTGGAATGAGCTGCTAGAGGAAGTGGTAGATGCAGGTACAGTTAAAGCATTTAGAAAACATTTGGATAAGTACATGAATAGGAAAGTTTAGAGGGTTATGGGCCAGGCAGGCAAGAGGGACTAGTTTAGTTTGGACAACTTGGTTGGCATGGACGAATTGGACCAAAGAGTGTGATTCTGTGCTGTATGACTGTATAATTCTATGACTCTATAAGTGGCTCTATTAGTCACAAATGATATCACACAAGACTTTGATGAAGATAAACTCTCCCTCCTTGTCCTTCTCAACCTATCTACAGCTGTTAACATCATTGACTCTTCCTCCTTCCTTTAAAATCTCTCTACAGTTATTGAGATGAGCGGAACTACGCTTGCTATCCATTTTATTTTTAAATTCAATTTAAAGTTCCATCTTTTTCTGTTTATTTATAGTCAGAGAATCACCTAAACCAACCTCACTTCCTGCACCTGTATTTTTATCTTTCGTATCACCCAAGGATCTGACATTGCCCTCTTTTCTCTCATTTGTACATACTGCCTCTTGATGACATAAACAGCAACAATAACAATATTTAGTGTCTTTAATACAACAAAACATCCCAAGATGCTTCACAAAGAATCACATGAGAACATAAGGAGATATTAGGTCAGATGACAAGAAGCCTAATCAAAGAGGTAGGTTTTAAAAGTGTCTCAAAAAAGCAAAAAGAGATAGCAATGTGAGCACAGAAGTTTGAGTCAGAAGTAACTGAAGGCACAACTTCCAGTGATGCAGCAATTTAGACACTCAAAATGTATTTTATATAAAATGAAAGACTAATATGGGTATAGGGGCTTTATCTAATAGCAATTTTTACCATTGTCCGTTATGCAAAAATTGCATTGAAATAAAATTGTACAAGTCTTCTGTGAATGATCCCCAGCAGCAATAGGTATGAATCGACTCAGAATTTCCTGGATTGATGTAAATCCAATGATATGACAAAATCTACGCCTAATTCTATGCTGATTTTGTCAATACAATTGAAAATTTCTTGCCAAATTCATGAGTATTTGCCAAAACATGAAATCCAACAAATAAAAACAGAAACCATCATTCATAAAAACTGCTCAAGAAAATTGCAATATTTGACCCATGTGCCTTATTTAAATCCGTAATTGCTAAAATTTAAAAAAAATCATAATATTAAAGCAAACTGAAAGATCAAGTAAGCTTAGTCTGGTTTTGTTGCCTCATTGATATAGTTGGAATGATTGGTACCATCATGAAGAGATTGGAGATTTTTAATCTGAGTAATGTCTGATAACAATTTGATTATACACTCCCAGAAGTGTTTGAACCTGTGGTATTCCACAATTGTCAAGTGTTGTCTACAGACTAAAGCTCCCTCCTGCCTTTGCTATACAGACAAAATTCAGAATCTGCCTTTTTTACAATCGACTAGACTGGCTGCATTTAATTAGGAACTGCTAAGCACAAGCTCTATGAACAGCTGAATATATATCGTTAATGGATTTCAAAAAGACACAATCAATATAATTACATTCTCTACTTGTCACACAGCAAACACACAAAATAAATCACTTCCCTATGGTATAGTTTTTATCGAGATTTCAATAAACTTCCACACGCTACTCAAGTTATCAGCATTAATTTTGTGCTGTGTGACAAACCACATAAAAAGCCTTACATTTTGTGATTTTCTAGATACTTGATTTGTCTCTTCCCACTCTCCAGGCTTTCATTTAGCAGGTCCTGCTACAGACAGTTGCAGTGCTTTGAAACAGACTTCCTTCTTTGCCCACATTACTTCCACCAGGACAGGGTGATTTTGAAAACCCGGAGACTTGCCTGTGTCTCCTTATTCTTTCCACTTGTTATTCCAGACAGAATCAGTCTGAAGAGAAAACAGCCAACCTTTAATAAGTATATTATCACTTTGAGTAAGCCTGTAGAGTCCATCGGTAATTGTGCTGCAAAAGTGGGCACATTCCCCTTTGAGTACCAAACCTGTCAGATTGAAACAAAATCTAGGTGAAAATACTCACGCAGTAATTATGACTTTGGATATGTATAATGAATAGCTGAATTAATAAACCCATTTACCACATCGCACAAAGTTGAGTTACTCACCCATCACCTCGCAACTTTCTTCAGCAATTGCATTTCATGTTCATCCACCACCATTTATCTTTACACTCTTGTCTACAGCAAAATTATTACATCTGCCCATTATGGTTAATTCCATAGAATGGCCGCCAACTTTGGTCCTTTGAGTTCAAGGAAGTAGGGGAATATGAGTCGTGAATTAATTTGAGGTGATGGTCATGTCAGCTTTTGATGTTGATATTCTTGAAACATTTTTGTTCA